GAGCTGTGTGAAGTTCCAAAAGTGCGGATTGAGCTTCGGATCTCTACTTCGGTAGGAAGGTCAGTGGGGACAGCCTAAGCAATATCTGATGGAGATGAAGGTGTCACAAAGGATTTAGCTGTGTAGTGAAATTGAAGAGCTCAGCGCTCCAATCCCTTCTGCAGGTTGGTGATAGTTGTACCGTCTAACTCACAGGTTGTTCGACTGATGGCTTGTGAATTGCAACCGGTGGCTTAGATGAGGCGAAACAAACTGCGGCAGTTACCAAACGATGCAGCGATATCCATCTCAGCAGCAGGCCTAGATCACCAGCATTTACGGGCAGAGCGAAGGCTTGATTTTAGCTACAGAGAAATATACCGACGGATTTCGCTGTGTACCGCGCCCGTTGGTACGGTGCATCGATAATCCAGAAGTTGCCGAGATCCAGCATTTAGTGATGCAGCGGACGAGGCCGCAGATGGACATAGCTGCGGACAGCATGGCGTTCTGCAAGCCTAACCCGTGCAGGTCAGCATTCAGAGAACATGAAGGAGTAAGGTTTCCACGAAGCCTACCTAGGTCGATACTCTGTTTGCACTGCAGGATCTTCCAATGTGCAAATGCTCAGTCGGGTTTGTTTGGCCCTTGGGGAGCCACTGAACCGCATGCAAACTCTCGCGCAAATCAATACATGATCGGTTTCCACATAAGCTGACCAGTATGATTGGCAATCCTGAATAATTAAACGCCAACTTCGACTTATGGCTGTGATCAACTTGCGAACAACGCTGGGTTGATAATGGAGGAAGCCACGTGCCATAATGGCGCATGGGGTGACGAAAGCACCTACTGGAGTCATCGTCAGTATGCACGTCAGCTAGAGGTGGGAAACACCTCAACTACTACGCCGCAATACATAAAGGAAAAGGAAAATAAATACAACAGTTGCATGCCAGCTGAGCTACCGGCAACGGATAGGCATCGCTCCGGTAAGCTACAAGCCGGCTACTAGGCAAAAGCATTCTTGTTTTATGCTAAGAAATGAGATCGCAGGTGGAGGAAGGGATAAAAGTTATGGGGAGGGACAAAGAAACTCACAGCAGGAACGCCACTGAGGTCGGTTCCGTGACATGTCAGCAAGTGTATCCAGCCAAACGTGTTCACCGTCTTTCGGACCCCAACCAGGGAGCCGAAACGCTCCAACCGAGGCCAGCTCAGAAGTGAGAGCCTTCATTCCTCTCGACCATGTCATCGCTTGGCCACCCCTCCTCTTCTTCCATCCACACCCCCGGCGCGCAAACAACGCACGTCGCGGGAGTCAGTGGGCTGGCATGCGCAACACGTGGCCGAGCCATCGGAGCCTGGTGCGTGAAATAACGGTGCTGAGCGGTTCAGTTCCTTTTCTTGTGCCGTAAACAAGGCGTCGAATACGCTCGGTGCTCACGCGGTGTTCCCACCAGATTTCAGCCAAACTGCGAAGGCACCGGTGGTCCAAAGTAACTAGCCTCTTCAGGTCCGCTGCTTTAAGTGACCAGGATTCACAACCGTACAGTAGGGTCGAACGTGCCGCCGCATCGTACACTCCACCGTTCAGGGCAAAAGGGATCTCGAGCTGGTACCATAAGTGGCGAAGGTTAGCAAAAGCGCATCGAGCTTTTGCTATACGGTCCGTGATCTCATCTTCAATCCCACGGGCGCTGATACAACTTCCCAGGTAGTTGAATTTTTGAACGACTTCTAGCTTATCCCCACCAACGGTCAGCGAAGGAGGCGGTTCGTGCCAATCTTGGAGGAACGCTTTGCACTTCGAGGGTGCGAAGCAAAGCCCGAAATGACGGACAGATAGTGCTAATCTGTCCAGCGCGGATTGGCACGTTTGTGAGCTGTCACAGATGAGGGCAATATCACCAGCATCCTCTAAGTCAAGAAGTCGTTCTCCTGGGAGCAGATCCACACCTTCTAAGTCGTGTCCTGTAAACGCGATTTCCATGACTTCGTCAACAGCGAAGTTGAAGAGAAAAGGCGACAGCGGATACCCTTGTCTCACACCGCTGGAAATATTAAAGGGCGACAACAGCTTATCGTAAGCCGTCACTCTGCCCGAGCTACGCGCATATAATGCTCGGATAATATTTACATATTCCTCGGGCACACCTTTCCTGAGTAGACAAGTCCAAAGGGCACATCGATCAACCGAATCGAATGTACCTTTGATATCGAGGAACACGACTGCGGTGGGCCGCCAATATGTGTGACGGTGCTCCAACAACTGACGCAAGGTGAAGATGTGGTCGATGCAGCCACGACCTCGACGAAACCCGGCTTGCTCTTCACGAATCTGGCTTTCACGAGTGCCAGTCAGTTTGTGAAGGATGACAGGAGGAAGCAACTTGGAGGCGATGGAGATCAGACTGATTCCTCTACGGCTGCCGCATTCTGAACGCGAGCCTACTTTAAAGATGGGAACAGTAACGGAACGGCTCCAGTCGGTTGAGACAGTTTCCTGCTCCCACAGTTTCACTAGTACCTCGTGTAAATCACTCACAGGAGCAAGTTCCCCGAATTTGTAGAGGGCTGGGGGAAGATCACCTGGTCCCGCGGCTTTGTTCAACTTTAACAGTCCGATCTCACGTTCGACTTCTGAGCGAGAGGGTGGATCCAAAGGGACAGCCCACGGAGCAGGTCGATCACCGCCCGCCAAACAATGGAACAATTCTAGCCGATTAAATTGCCTTTCAAAGTGCTCAGCCCAACGCTCCAAGCGTTTTGACAAATTGTGGATAGGCTGTCCACTCTCATCACAAATTGTTTCACTAACACCAGGTCTTCTGCTGCCCGTTTCCCTATCAGACGGAATAACTTACGATGGTTACCAACGGCAGCGGCCACTTCCATCTCTGACGCACGATGAGACCACCAGGATTCGCAGTCTCTCTTCAGGCTAGCACGGAGTCTTGCCCGGAGCTCTTTGCGTTCGCTTCTTTGTGTTTGCTTCCAGCCGGGATATGCCAGCGAGCGTCGATAAGTTCCAGAGACCGCGAACAGACCCAATGTCCATGTTGGCGATTAGACATACCACATGAGGATTTTCCTGCTGCTAGTAAGCTTTGGTGAATATGACACCAGTGAGCTTCAATTGCATCCCGTGAGCGTTAATCCAACTCGCATGACAGCGTACTTTGATAGGCATTCAGAACAGCTGGCTTCGCCACTTGGCTTGTCTCAATGCACTCACGGCGTCGTCGTGGGCGTCCGCCAAAACGCACCCACAGGTCAGCACATACAAGTGCATGATCGGTGTCTACACATGTGCTCCAAATCGAGCGACAGTTCTGGACACAGCCTCTCCCTCCGTAACTGATAGCAATGTGATCGATTTGCCTCCATAGCTGATTTGAGGCTGGTGGGCGCCAAGTCACCCTCGGGCGGTTGCCGTGTCGGAAGTTAGTGCTCGCAAGAAATAAGCGGGCATCTTCATACAAATGAAGTAACCGCTCTCCGTTCACATTACGCGAGCCTATACCATGTTGGCCGTACAGATGCAGCTCATCATTGGATTATTTTCCAATTCGAGCGTTCAGGTCCCTCGCCAGCACTACAGGGTTCTATTTTTTTCTGTGGCTAAAGTGCTCGTTCGTTTGACGAGTGGAGTCTTTTACCGAGTCATCGCTAGAGTTTGTCGGTGCATAGGTAGCGATAACGAATAGACACCTGTTAGTCACACGCGACTTCAAGCTTTGAATGAGCCAGCCAATCGGACCGCACACATCCGGTTACTGATTGGAATTCAATCAACCAGAGTAGCTTCAACTCGGGGATTCCGGGTAATACCAACACTAGCTTGGTCGGTGCTCGAAGCTGCATCGTCCCCGGATAGGCGCAATGAGAAAGTGTGCTAGTGTCTCTTGAAGGGGATCGCAAATTGAGCACAGAGCTCGAGTCTTGCAGGCCGGTCTCCGATAAGCAGCAGATATCGATCGAGACGGTCTCCAATGTTCGGACAAGTGCTGCCTGTTGACCAATCTGAAGCAATGTGCGTACACTGAGGCATGCCAATCTAAAGGGAGGATCCAGGGCTCCAAATGGAAGCCGACGAACTGGACTGGACCGCTTGGTTGGACATGGCCTTGTCGATAGGAGAGGAGTGACGCTCCGCGTTCACATGTGAGTTGAAATTAGAAGATAACTGCCTAGCAAAACATGTTGGTGGAGGGCCAGGAATCAAGGAGTTGAAAACTGGGGGGATAAAAGTGGAGTTGGAATGGGGCGGTAAGAGTGAAAAAGCTTAAGAGGGGGTATAAGAAGACGGGAAGGCTTGAGCAGTAGCATCCAAGCGCCTATCCACCCTGCTCGATGCAGCAAATAGTGCACTGTTGATTATCCTCTGCGGTGGCCAGAGCATCAGAAATTTGTTTGAAGAAAGTTTCGTTGTATTGCGTGGACAGGATACTGTCAGCATGCCCAGGCCTAGACAGTAGAAGGATTAGGGTTCTCAACCAAAGCGTTTGGTTCAGAAACCTTACCGCAAGGCAACTTGTTTGGCGTTGGGCTACAAAGAGTCCTTTTTACATGTTCTGGTTCGGGATGACATGCAAGCTGTCCAATGTGTTCATCCCATGAAAAACAGCGGACTACGGAACCAATAATGCGCAAGAAATTTCACATCGGTCATGGTTGAAGATCGACATTACTCAAAACGTTGTCAGCTAGAGTTGGCTGTATAAGCAAACATGTGCTTGCCGACGCTGATAATCGGGTTTCAAACACCTAGGCATCAAGTAAGGTGGCAACCTCAATGAGAAGCACGCCCAGTGAGCAGTTTAGTTATCTACGGTCGCTAACTCGAGGAGGAACGGAAGCCAATGTGGAAGCAAAAGTGACCCTGAACTACTTCATGTAAAACACGTCGCAGAAGATGAAATGGAGCTTCAGAGGGTAACATGCTCATGAAGGTCACCAGAATAAATGTTAGCACGCTTGGAATAACGAAGACATCTAACACAGAAACAAATACTCACTTAAATGCACAGCTCCAATGTGTCTTCTTAATGCAAAGCTATGAAAGAAGCATTTGTCACAATGCTTGCACCTGTGGGACTGTTTCCCTACAAAAGGAAATAAGGTTATACAAAGGATCGAAAAAGAAGTAAAGAAAAGGTGATGACAAAAGCGAAGTGCTCTCGAATCGAGTGCTAACCAGAGTGAAAGGCTGAAAAGAGCAATTCCACCACTTAGTAAGTAAGCGATGATTCGGAGATATCTGATGGATTTCTGATAACGAAGGCAAGCAAGCAAGGTTCTCAGGTGAACTCAACAGGGATTTACGATGAGGTGAAAGTGCACCTGCCTAGAAAATGCAGAGAACCTCAAACGGCTCAACAGGGACCAACTGTGATGCATCTGGAGAGTTATGCAACGGTAGATAAAATCGTTTGCTGTTAGGTCCCAGTTTACGGCCTTTTAAAAAAAGTCGTTCCCCGGAAATGTGCTTCCATCTAACATACAACCTTTTAACAATGACACTACACCAATTCAACACCAGGTGATACACACACAGACGTCAAAATAACAATTGTCGTCTCTCCGTTATTAGGTCAGCGCGTCAAAACACGTGACAGGCATGGGTGATTGAGTAAGCACTATAGCACTTCTCATTTCATTACATAATTAACGCAATGGCTGACATCCGTGCCAGAGACTTATGCAACCGCGCCGATGATGAAAGTTCGTACATGCCCGGTCCATTATTGGAAGGAATGACAAACGCACGGTGTAGAACTTACTCAAGTGAGCAGCTTCTACGTGTCTCCGGAGGTAGCTCCTTAAGGAAAAGGATTTTCCACAATATTCGCACGTGTGATTTCGCTGATCTGGAACAAAAAGCAGGACGTTTACAGTCATGTACAACATCGAGGAATGAACTATTTCACGAGGTTTGGAATGTAACTGCTTAACGACAGGGTGAATGCCTGCCTAAAAGTCTCTCGCCCGCAAGCATTGAGCAATGCATGTATGAAGCGTTAAACCCACTGGCATTACACCAGGCCAGTGAATAAAAATCATCCGGGCACCATTGTTCGATATCCAAGTGTGCGCGTGGGTACACTCTAAATCAAATGCTCAAAACACTTCCGGAAGAGCAAAGAGATAGGCGGTTAAAAGAAGTAAAAGACTCCTCGTTGAAGAGCTGTGATATTAAGATAGCACAGATATAGCAGGAATCGCCCGTTCGTTCAAATGTCCGATTTTGAAGGGCCGATTCCAATTCGCGCTAATGACGACACAACGGATCTCGAGGACAGTGTTTTGGCAGACAACCACCCCAGTCTGATATCACGGATGTTTATACACAGACCGATACCAGAAGATACTTCCATCACAACTATGGAGCACGGTAATCTAAGCCTTGAGCTACCGGAAAACGTATAACCACCACACAGTGTGGTTAGTCAGCGCACAGTTGTCTATCACCCAACAAGTACTCCATTCAGCAGTGCGCCAACTACTCCCGGATTCCGCAGATATTTCTGTGTTCATCTTGCATCACAATGCTTACAGCCCTCAGTGAGGGTTTGTCTCAACGGGTCTCATTCATTCTATCTTCGCTCTGGCAACGTTCCCAAGCGACGTCGCACCCACCGATAAACAACAGTCATGGCATCCTCGGATATTCAAGCCGCTTTTAATTGATTACACAAAAATGCTCTGTGGAAGGGCTTGCTAGACAGACTTACAGGGTGAGTTTGTCGTAATGCAGAGGGAAATGCATCGTCACATGTCCGGTAAAGTCATGGTCTATGTTGAGATGCTTTCTTCGCCTGCTTTTCACAGCACTGTAGCTCAACCTGGTCCTAGCACACCATATCCATTAAGCATTACCATGGTGGATGTACTAAAACCAGCGATGAGAGATGGACACGGAGGTGATGTACCGCTTCTACCAAGGGAAAAAGTTATTGCCTTTGAGTATCCAGATGATATCACTTTGTAGAGAAAATGCTGTGAACCACATAGAAAGAGAGGTGACGAATTATGGTCCACAATTTAACTGACATAAGAACAATGTCGTGCTTCGGATAATACGGTACCTAAGCCTACAGTCACTGATGCAAGTGACATACTTGAGTAAATTAATAGCTTCGCTTATTCAATGAGTTGCATGACAGTCGGTGTTGGAGATGAACTATCAAAAATTGTTAAAACTCACATTGGCCTCGTGGAGGTGTCAGTCGCAAGTTCAGAAGCAGTGTTCGGACGCTCCCCAGGTGCCGCCCTGTTGAACGCACAGGCTGGCGTATGGAAATGCCAGTTCAGTGTACGCCTAGGTGCTACAAATCGGGAGACAAGTCTAGAGAGATTCTATAAGATGTGATCAATTTGTGTCCATGACTGCTCTGAGGATGGTGCGCGCTATGTCAATTTTCTGCGGGTGCTGTGTCAGAAGTCAGTGCTCGTGAGAAATAGATGACCATCACCACACAGATGTAACAATAAAACACTGTTACGTGAGTCTACATCATGTTTGCCGCCCAGAGGAAGCTCACAAGTGGAAAACTTTTCAACTTGAGCGTTCAGATCAGTAGCAAGGAAAAACAGTACTCGTACTTTTCCTGTAACGAAGGAGCTCGTTCAGCTAGTCTTCTTTCACCGAGCCGGTGCTATAACTTGTGAGTGCGTATGCAGCGGTAACAAACAGGAACCGCATGTCCACACGTGACATCGAGACTATGAAAGATCCGGCCAAACCGACATCACTGATCCAGGTAATGTCTGCGATGCACTATATCAAGAGAGATTCAGCCATGGGCGTAAAACAATGCCCAAACCGGATTGAACGGCATTTGAAGCTGTGCCGTAAGTGTCGCATGTGGGAGATCGTAGGGTAAGCTCAGATCACAAATATTGTAGGCGGGTTTAATATCTTGGAACATATTTGGAACCGATCGGGAAGCTATGATTTCAGAAAACTTGGTATACGACGGGTTAATGTATTTATGGTAATAGGCGGGTTTAAGTTGAGCAGCAGATACCAGTCGATCGACAGTCTCTGGTGTTCGGGTCGGTGCTGCCTGTTGGCCATGTCAGTTTTAGGGAGGTTCTATGGCTCTAGAGAAAAACCGACAAATGGACGTTGTCGGCTTGATGGAACTTAAACACGTCGAAAAGACCAGAGCGACATCTGCGCCGCATGTGTTGAAACTAGAATACAAATATCGATTACAGCAAGATGAGTGATGGTCAAAAATGGGCGGTTTAAAACAAGGAGAACAAAAGTCAAATTGGAAAGAAGCGGCAGGATGGAAAAGCGCAAAATGGAGAATAAGGACTGCAAGTCAAGTGTCTACTGAAGCTAGGTGTGGGATGGCCGGGATTTGAGGGGTTGAAGACATGGTGATAAAAGTGAAGTTGGAGCGAGGATAATGGCGAAAAAGTGCAGAAGGAGAGGATAAGGAAACGAAAATGACTGAGTGGTAGCACCATCACAGCTATCCACCCTGCACGATACAGCGAGAATGGCGTTTTTAGTTATCTTGTGCAACAGCCTGACTATCAATAAGTTGCTTAAAGAGAAGTATTTAGTAAGGCGTAAACAAGATACTGTCAGGCTGCTCAGGCTCAGGCACGAGAACTGTTAGAGTTCCCAACCAAAACGTTGGATTCAAAAAAAGCTAACCGCAAAGCAACGCGGTTTTAGCACTGGGTTACAGAGGGATCGTTTTACGCAGTAAGGAACCACCCTCACTCCAAGTCCAAATAAAGAGAGTCAGAAGATTGAGTTTGGCTGGCCTCTAAGCATTGACCAATCTAATTTGAGTGGCTCGGTAGATGCAAAAGCACCATCCAGAATAGCTTAATAGGGCGGTGAGGCAGACAAACCATCCCACTACGTGGAATGCAACCGCTGGTTGTTAAGAGTGTAGGTCCGCCGGTCAAAACCTTTCCCAATGCTCACGAAAAACGAATTGAATAGGTCAACGGGAAGACCGACTACTGCAGATCACACGGTCGCAGTCGCTGAGAATATTAAACATTGTCCACATCTTCAGGTCACCGGCAAACAGGAGAAGCTGAGGTAGATCGTTGGTTGGTTTACAAAGAGAACTCAGTTTGCCAGGAATTTTGGGGAAAATCTTCACCACCCAACACGAATGCAAGTGTCCTAGTATAAACGGCCATGCTTAAGTGTGCGGATGACGTAACCATGGATGCTCATCCTCCAACCACAGAGTCATCGTCCGGATAACAAGCCCCTCTGGACAACCGGACAGCGTGCTTCAAAGCCCACTGCGTGTCGTTGAATGCTTCGAAATGTAAGGATTTTCATTTCTCAATGTTTAAACGAAAGGAACATCAACAAGTACTCGTAAAGTGCCCACAAGTTTACCACGATAGTGAAAGAGTTAACTTTGACACTTTAGTGAAATACATGAAAGTAACATTAAGCTTAAGTAGTTCTTACCAACCAAAGTAGGACACTCCATGCTACTTGCCACAAGTATTCTTTCGTACAACGTTCCTTGACCATGCGTGTTACCATATTGGACCTACTGATATCCACTGATCTCTGGCCTCTTAAAGAGTGATCACAAAGTAATATCCAGGTAAGTGAAACATCCATCTGAATGTAGATAACCATGCCAAATCCTGCAACAATAATACATCCAAAATATGCATCGATGGCAGCCATCCCTAAAATGGGGCATTGTCCGAAACTCTTTCGAATTCCTCTACCAGAGAGATACAAGAAAAAAACTACAAATGCCCGTACAATATACAATTATCCTTCAGTTGTCCGGTATTTGCGGGCTTATCCCACTGATTTAGACGAGATTATTCAAGAAGTCGTCTGCGAGTAAGTGGAAAACAGAGGTGCGAGTGGATTCAACGGAATTAAAGGATGAGCAAAACAATGGCTAGAGAAATAAATGAAGTGAAGTGATCCGCATACAAGACCGTCTCACTAGCCGTTAGACAGAAAACCCAAAGGATATACGACGTTCATTCAGTTCACTTTAAACTAACTGGTATGAGAAGTAAGAACTTTCGCAGAGTAACATCTAGTTACGCGATTAAAAAAAGCAATGCTGATTCGGATGAAACCTAATCCAACTATTGAAGATGGCGTAACACAATTGGCGAAATCAAAACATAAATGGTGCCTTCAGGTAAACGCTTACCCGAATGAATAGAAATCATGTGATTCTTTAAACCGCTATTCAAGGAAAACGATTTATCACAGCGCTCGCAGGTATACTTGCGTTTTTCTGGATTGAAAGGGAGAAAGCAAGCAAGCATAGATAAGTCACACAGAGAGAAAGGTGCAGAATAGTAAACAAACTGTTGTAATGATGTACACCTGTTGCAGTACGCGCAGGCCATAACGATGAACAAGGATTTCGGGTTTTCGTCACGTGGAATAAGGGCCATATTCCTTAGTTCTTAAAGTGAAGGTGCAGAACGAAAAGCAATGTGCCAGTTATCTGCTAGCAACAAAGGCTTGCTGCTTCGAACCCATGACGTAGAGTGTATAAAAAGAAGAGTGAGTTCCCATGGAACGATACCAAGTAGAAAGTAAGATCGGTACAGCTGCGGAGATGGGGGCTCATTGCTGGTGCGACCAACAGCAGGTCCCGCTCGCATCGCTACCCAGTAGCTGCCTTGCTCGTCACTCCGGTCATTCCGGTTCTCCGTTGTGAATACATCCTTCTGCTCTTGCATTCCATCAGATGGACCTCCGGGACAATCTGCATTTGTTTTACCTGTAACTGCTGGAAACACACTCAAAATATCACTTCAAGTGGACGGCGCATACCCACATCGTTGCACTGTTCCGAGCGGCCATAAGTTTGCATTAACGTCTTCGTATCCTCCAATGTAATGGAGAAGCGGAGCATAAAAGTGTGGAGTTCAGACTCCTTTGTTGAGTTGTCGCTCTAGTGAATTTAGACTGATGTCCAAAAAAGAGGTCGCATTACTTCAAAAACACTATTGCGTGGGTACCACGTCGATACCGGCCTTGCTAACATATCCTGCATTTTCAATACAGCGTAAATTCTTTGCAACGTATATCACCAAACCATTACAAAGATAAAGCTGGCTACATAGGAGGACTTCACGGTTCCATTTGACGAAGGCTTTGCTGAAATCGATGTAGATCACGTCGACAGACTTCGCCTGGTTCACTGCCTGCATCTAATCTTGTCTCGTTACGAGCAGATTGGCAATGCATGAATTACCTGGCATGAAACCGTGCTGTGCGGGCCTCAGGAGATCTTTTAACTAGGACAGCTTCTTGTCAACTTTCGCGGCAGCCTTGAACAGAAGAGGTGTCAAACAATAAATCGGAATACCTGTAGCTCGGGTGATCTGCTCAGATTTTGTCCTGAACAGTTTTGTTGCAAACGTTTCATCACCAATCGTGTGACTACTTCAGTGCGTAATAAGCAAACTGAATTTTTTTTTTGTCAAATCTTACCGAGGAGGGTGATATTTGAACTTGCTCACTTCGATTCAGGTCCCGTGACCATTGCTAGTTCGGAGTTCCGGTGCCACCTCTTTTCGCCTGATGTGTCAAATGGTCTAGGTAAACATTTTTTCGCAGCTGTTGGTATATCGGATCTAAGTCGATGCGTTGGTTTATTAAACTGTCTGTAGAAAACCACGCTTCGAGGAATTCTCTCAGTTTGTCGGTCTCTCCTTGCGCTAGCATCTCCGATTTCTCCCAATCAAACATGTGCCCTACTTCATCAACGTGTGTCCAGACCAAGGATGATGGGTAATGGTTTCGACAGGCTCGTTTGTGTTCTTGTAGCCTACAAGAACACAAACGAGCGTGTGTTCCATGGATGTGGAATCTTTATTCACCAACTTCCCACTACGACAAACCGTTGATTACATATGTGAGCTAGCTGAGCAATCTAATTATTCGGTACCGATTCCAGTCGAATTTCTAAAGCAATCCTTACTTCTGTGTACAGTAAATGTTGGCTTCCACTTTCAGAACACCACATATGGTCAAACCGATGGTGTGGCAATGGGTAGCCCACTAGGTCCTGTACTTGCCGATTCATTCATGCTGATGACAGAAAGAGGAATATCCGCAGAAACAGCCAAGTTACCGTACTATGAGCGTTATATGGATGACATATTGGCTCTTTGTTCTTCGAAGCAGCAGATTGTCCAGTTTGTGCAGCAACTCAACTGTGCCCATAGCAACTTGCGGGTCACCTGCGAAGTAGAACAGAGGAACTGTCTGCCATTCGTAGACATCCTCATCAGTTGCAGGGATGACGGGCTCATTAAAAGGTCTATCTACAGAAAAGCAACCTGGTTCGGCCAATATCTGCACTTCACCAGCTTCACACCAGTGCAGTACAAGCGGACCCTTGGGAAAACTTTAGTTAGTCCTGCTAGACGAATTTGCTCGACTGATTGTCTAGCCGAGGAGCTATAATTACAACAACACTCATTGCAAATGGTTTTCCCGTAGATTCATAGAGAAACACAGCCAACAGCGAGGCCCGAAAGACTTGGTGCATACGGCAGCCAAGAAAAAGATCTATGTCGAGTTGCCTTTCAAGGGTGAGTTTGCCGTATTGAAAACCACGAAACGTTTAATCTCTGCTACGCAGAGAAGTTACTGTGCTGCTCAGGTTGTGGTCACCAATAGAACCTGTAACTTGCCGGTGCCTCCAACGAAGGAAGCTCAACCGATAGGCGCCAACTTACATTACATATACAAATTTGTGTGCGACTGCGAAGGCAGTTACATAGATAGGATCAATCGGTCTTTGACTTCCCGAATAAAAGAACACGTGCCAAGGTGGGTTCAACGTGAAATTGACCAGCATCCCTGTCCTACCGAAGTTCCGTGCTTGCGCAAGCCACCATCTTCATCAATAGGTAAACACTTACTGACGACGCGTCACCGGATAGAGCATGGATCAGCATTCACACTTGTATTACATCACCCTAATCCCTGATTCCTCCGTTTCGCAGAGGCCGCTGCAATAAGCCGGTCCTGTGTGTTCAAAAGCAATTATTTGTCAGTTTGTGGACATAGGGGTGGAACGTCCATTATTCATTTTTCACCTCATGCTTATTCAGTCACACGCATAAATAAGTATATAGTTGCATACCGATTATTGTTAATGGTATTAAGGTGACAATACGAAATGCACGCATCTACCAGTTTTAGTCTTCTTAAAGTGCTTTTCAAATTTCTGAATGGAATCGATTGCGTTAAATTTCCTTAGATTCGTAACACGTGAAATCAACATTAGTTTGTCATAAACGCACCTTCTTCATCACTTTGTAATGTTATTTCCGGTTTACCCCAGCGCCGTTTCCCTACACTTAGTTGGCCATAAAGAAGCGGTATGAATATCCTTGTCGAAATGACTCTGTATACATATATACATGGATTGGCGTCCTTCGAATTCAATGGTAGTGCGAATACAACATTTGCACATGCATTTGTCCAAATTTAAATATAAACTGAAACAAACTGGATGGTTGGCGGCACCTGGTTTCGGATTTGCCTGTCACTGTGGCAAGCCACAGGACGCCTGCACCTACAGAGTGACCATGGTTGGCTTGCGCTGCACCACCCACAGCTCCATCCACATACCCCATATCCAATGTAAATCCGAAGGAATACGACCGGAAGGCATGCGGATGGGAGCAAGGTTTCATCAAAGGAGTCGGCCCACACTACTTCACAGGCAAACGCAAGCAAGCCGTATATGGAAATCAAGCGCACACAAGGCGGTGGCTGGACCGTAGTCCGCTCCACACTGAGTGCATGCAACCACTCTTCGAGCCTAGCATGGCCATAAGGACGATGTCCCCTGTCCCTCCCCCATCAACGATCAACTGTCTCCTGGAGCCAGTATGGACGAGCTAGTGAGTAATAGGCGAGTAGGCAGAAACTGGATAGAGATATATTAAATCTCATGAGCAGTAGTACTACAAACGTGTATGGGTTTCGCTTGGAGGTAAGGCTAATAGCCATTTTCGCACGCTTGAGAATAAGTACCCAATACGAACCGCTGAACGTGAACTTTAATAACAGACATACATCTTGTGAAACAATATGTGAACGAAACCAAGATAGGAATAGTGACGCAACTTCCATCAGTACGGTTACCAGGTAGAAGGATTAATAAGCAAGTGGCACAGTAAAATAGTGCGTAATTAGGTTTTGCCGTCCATACATATAGTCTGGTATGCATAGCTAATGGGGGAGGTCGCACAGCGTGCAAACGCGATGGGGTGTTCACTTCAAGCTCTCTGCGTCGCCGACCGGTCCCGTCATCTGCTGCCCGAGGTAAGTGCAGATTCTCAATGAGCGATCATTGAGCAATCTTAAGCATTGTCAGGTGACGATACCACATATTCGCCGCTTACGGCCTCCTTGGCACGGCAATTACCACAGTACTACATCAACTAAATCCCGCTGCCCACTGTCAAACATGCGGCTTTCCAAACAGTGTTCGCCTTGTTTTGCAAATGTCCAAGACGTAGCATGGCTGTCGTCCAAGTACTCCACCGTTCGTATATGCCGATGTGTACACCGCTGTGGCCATAAGCTATTTGGTAACGCTCTGCATCTTACTTCTCCAGTGCAGCCATTCGGTGCTCCTAAAACGATTGATGCTATGCGTCAATCTTTTTTCAATGTAATATAATAAGACACTGACATACCATTTCCGTGGGGCTAAACCTTTTTCTTAGTCTATCCAGAAAATTGGCCATATCCAATTTCTGATAGGCGTCCTGCGCCCCATGCCTTCAGTCCGCTTAGTACTTGCGTTTTCATAAGCCTCGGTAAATTCAGTATGGCTGATGAACAAAGGGAAATTTAATTATGCTCACTCTCATCACTAACCTATGGAGCGAAGCACTAACTGTCGACATCATGATAACCGCTAGCCGGTTAATTGTCGAGGTTCGTCACTTGCCACAGAATTTCCAGGGCAATTTCTCTTCGGATGCACAGCCCAATGTGGTCACGTGGAGAAAATTCGTTGAGCATTGTGTTTTAAATATCAAACTTCACACTTTATGCGTACTGTAAGTGGCCAAGCGCTGGTAACCTTTCGATTCAAGCGTATCCATTGAAATGGAAACATATTCAATAATTTGCCATCCTAGCACCGATCTGTATCAACAACACAATTTGCTCAGAAACACCGCGCGCACGTCAAATACGAATGAGCGATACACCGGCTCCCTAAGCGTGGTGCTAGTTAGCATTGGACAG